AGAACGGAACGAACCTTGTGCGGGCGCGTAGATGTTGAGGTAGAGACAATCCTCGCTCTGGTTCTGCAGGTGCGGGAGGATCCGCTTGAGGTAATCCAGGCGGCCCTTGGGCATGGTCCTGAGGGCCTGCGTCTCGTTGGAGATGTCCGGCAGGTCCTGGACGCAGACGGGGCTGAACTTGTCGGCCACCTTGACCCCGGACCACAGCGCCCCGGTCACCGGCGGCATGAAGCGGAGGCTCCCGGTCGGCGGCGAGGCGTACGGGATGCCCCGGAACACCTCGACCGAGTCCAGGTACCGGTTGTCCAGACTCACCATCACCCCGCTCACGTCGCCGTGTTTGGTCCGCACCACCCGCGTCGCCGTCAGCTGAGCCAGCGCACCCACCACGCTCAGCACCATCACCAACAGCTCCATCGCGACCAACGATGACGTCATCGATCACCCCATCGCGTCTGGCCCCGTCGGCCCGGCTCCCGGATCCGCACTTCCTGCCAAGCCACGCTTCCGCCCCATTCGTAAACGCACTCGAAGACTTTTTGGGAGCTAATCAAAATTCGATGCAGTTAGACGAGGATTTGATGAAACTCGCCAAAGTTTGAAAAACACCAAACTGTAGTCGATGAGCCATTTCACATCTAAATAGCCCCGATTTTTTTCAGGGATGATTGTTGGCCCACCGATATAAGATATCTATTGATAACACTTGAAGACTTTTCGGGGTCTAATCAAAATTCGATGCAGTTAGACAAGGATTTGATGAAACTCGCCACAGTTTGAAAAACACCGAACTGGAGTCGATGAGCCATTTCACATCTGAATAGCCCCGATTTTTTTCAACGAATATTTAGGGATAATTGTTGGCCCACCGATGTAAGATATCTATTGATAGCACTTGAAGACTTTTTGGGATCTAATCAAAATTCGATGCAGTTAGACGAGGATTTGATGAAACTCGCCGAAGTTTGAAAAACACCAAACTGGAGTCGATGAGCCATTTCACTTCTAAAGAGCCTCGGTTTCTTTTTTTAAAAAAAAAATAATACAAAAAAAAATAGTGTATTTCCGAAGGAAACACACAAAAATTGTTGGACTACGGCCAACTATAAAATATCCATTAGACGCACGTAGACGCTGGTTTGCCGGATAATATCAAACTCCATGACTTTGAATACACATTATACGGAAGTCATGAGCCATTGTACTTAATGACTATGCCACGTTCCTGTGATTTTCACTGCCGTTGAATTAGCCTTCGCAGTGGTGATTCGCACGGAAGACGATGGAAATTGAAGGATTTGCGTCTCTTCACGACACTTCACGCTACGCTGCGATTATTTTCTCGTCTTTTCCGTGCGCACTCATTCCCGCACAAGTTCAACAATAATTGGCCGATTCGCGCTTCGGAGGGCCAAATCGCTACCCAAAAATTAGCTGTCAAGCTTTTGATTGAGCTCTGGTTGACTGTGTATCCATTTTCATACCAATTTCCACCGACGTGATGCACTGGTGCAGATTATTGCAAATTATCACATATTGAATACATGCCTCGCGTTGAGAAACCCGGTAAGATATTGCTCACTAAAAATAATTGCGGGACGGCATTTTACACGCAAAATTTGTTCGACCGACGCTGGAAATTATCGTGGCCTTAACTATACGGCCGGTGGCTCGTACTGATACGAAGAAGACTTCAGGTATTATGCTGTCATCGGAGTACGTACGTATCACTAATTTTGGACACTCGGAAAAAGATGAGAACAAATGAAGGAGAATGAAGAGTGGTATCAATTCCGATTAAACTTGCATTCTCACTCACAAACCTAGAAAAAGCACAAGCGAATTATTTTGCTTGAAGATCCAATCGACGGACTTAATCCACTGGTGCGGTTTTGGTAAAACACGACGCTGTGGGTATCCTCGCACTTGGAACCGATACTCGGGAGAATTGGTAAAATATCCTGGAGGATAGAAGAGAAGAATTAGCAATCGTACTGCGCGCGGACAATGATACAAATCGCGAGAACTAAGAATTTATTACCGGAGTACAACTGTAAACTTGTGAAAACGAAGGAACACACTCACACAACACCACCTTGCGAGAATGAATCGCGATTTTTCGGTTGAGTCGGCGTGAAACGAAATCGGAACCGCGACGTATTTGGCCGGCGAGCGAGGCACGGACCTCTGACAGGCTGGGCACTGCAAGCGCAACTGACGGCTCGGGGCATGAACTTGAGAGGAGGACCGCACCGCGACCGGCACGACCACCCGCGCAAGCTCACCCCTCCCATCTACCCCACCCTCGTGTGCGTGTACAGGGTGATCCAGGGTTGAACGGCCAGACTGCAGGAACCGAAACACCCCCGCACCCCCGCCTTAAATTGAGATTTCGAGTTTATTTTTTTAAAGATCATTTGGACCGCGCTTAGCAGAAAGGAACCAAGCCGTATCAGCTATTCCGCCGTGCTAAGGAAGAACGCCGTATGAGGCTTTAGGCGTTGCCAAATTTCCTTTGATAAAACACGAATGTCCTGGTAAGCATATGAATATTTTCCTCCCAATTTTTCAGATACTTTTGCCAGCAATTTCACCTGAAGTTCCTAAAAATTTCAAGGAAAAATATTAATAACTTTCCTCAGAAATGAACATTTTATCGAAGGAAATTTGGCAACTCTCGAATGTTCATACGGCGTTTTTCCTTAGCACGGCAGGATTGCCAAATGTAACTGAGCGATCAATTTTTTTTGAAAGAGGACGTTTGTGCGGATTCCTTTGAAAATTTTAGGGAATTTTCTTCGTACCACGCAGAAAATTCACTGGAATTTTCGCAAAAATCCGCACGACCGTTTTCGCGTAATAAATTACATTCCCAAGTTAAATTTGGCGATAGCTGATGTGGCTTGGTTCCTTTCTGCTTAACGCGGTCCATTCATGAATTCAGGGCAACGAAATCCTGCCAAATCGAGGATTGAGGAAATAATACATGAGATGAGGAGATGCGATCTGCCGGAGGAACTCTGGCAGGATCTCTACCAGTGGCGGTCAGGTATCACAGAGCGCACAGAAGCGCTATAAGAGTGACTCGTTGGTTAGTTGCGAATTCAGGGCATAAAAGAATGGTAAGTACAAATTTACATGAGATTTGGTTCACAACCGTTGCCAAAATTCAGGGAAAACGATGGATTTTCCGAAATTTTGGGGAGGGGACTTGGCTCCGACTCGGGGCACTTTTGGAAAAAAAACCTTTTAACTTTATACAACACGAAAGTCTTATTTTAATCCATAGAACACGCTCCTGCAGTCTGGCCGTTAAGCCTAGATCACCCTGTATACATATACAGGGTCTTCGAAAAGTCGGGCTCTTCCGTGCTAAATTTTGAACGGTCCCGCCTAGACGTAAGTAAGAAACTTCGGAGATACCCCTGGGTTAATAAGGCCTATTTTCCGGCTTATCAGAGAAGTGGAGAGGCGCCCTCGAGGACCTGGGTAGACCCCAATTCAAAAATTCTAAATGTCAATCCTCCTTTTTTCATTACACAACGAATGTGGAAATGGAGGAATTTTGGCACGGACTGAAAGTCTGGCTATCATCGTTTCAAAATGGCGGCCAATCAAAGTTTTGCACTTTTTAACTTTGTTGGACCACCTTTATGAATTAGTGAAGGATAAAAGCCTGCAATTTGCACTAAAAAATCTTAACTCTCTAGTCTCTTTCTGCGGCCCGATTATTGAAATTATGTCAGCCCGACACGACAAGACATAGCCGTATCTTAACCATGCAATATATCGCGATTCGATGTCTTGTCAGACTAATTTAAACTTTCAATAATCAGCCTGCAGATGTTGTATCACTCAAAACGGTGTCAAATAATTTTGACCCCCCCCCCCCCCCNACCCAAAATGAATTTCCTTCTTGGACCATATTGGAGTGATGAGGGAATCCCGATAGAATAAAGAAGGAAGATTTTAGCGTTAACAGGACGTTCCTATCCGCCATCAAATCAAAATGAAGGCCCGATAAAATGGAAATTTTCAAAATTTTGACTGGCCGCCGTTTTGAAACAGCGATGCTTTTGGACTTCTGATCTACTAGCCACAATTCCTGTGTTTTTACGGTCTTTCCAATGGTGTATTAAAATGGAGAGATTCATATTTGAAATTTTGAGATTAGGTCCACTTTGGTGTTCGGAGGCGCCGACCTAAAATTTTTGGTTAGCCATAAAATAGATCATAGTAACCCTAAATTTTCGCATTTCTACGTCTCACCGTTCAAAGGGTGTTCAAACAAAGCAGTGTTACAATTCTGAGCGGTCTCAAAAGGTCGGGAACCAATCGCAACAGAGTCAGGTTGGGTTAGGTTAGGTCACGCAACTAAACAAACTTCCCGGATATGCTGGAAGTATCACTCGAATTGAAGGCGCCCCAATCCTCAATTTGTACACACTATTTCTGCGACTTCGATCAATAGAACTTTCTACGCTCTTTATCTCTTTCCGTACACTATTGATAGCCATGCTGTGAAGTAGACCTGGTGTTTTCCTCCTTTTTTAGTCCTCACACGTAGGAAAACAGCCTGCACCGACAAGACAGTAGCAACCTTAAGATAGTTTAGCTGCATCTCCTTCTGCCGGCTTAGCAGAATCGGATGGCGTTAAGCAAATTAATCATATCCACATTGAGATCGACGAGTGACAAAAATTCACTAAAAACTTCGACAAAAAAAATTCAATGAGTTTTTTGGGAAAAAATAATGCATGAAAAGTAATTCCGGAAAGTCGAAACAAAGCAGTGCTACAATTCTCAGCGGTCTCAAAAGCTCGGGAATCAATCGCAACAGAGTCAGGTTGGGTTCAGTTAGGTCACGCAACTAAACAAACTTCCCGGATATGCTGGAAGTATCACTCGAATTGAAGGCGCCCCAATCCTCAATTTGTACACACCATTTCTGCAACTTCGATCAATAGAACTTTCTACGCGCTTTATCTCTTTCAGTACACTATTGATAGCCATGCTGTGAAGTAAACCTGCTGTTTTCCTCTTTTTTAAGTCCTCACACGTAGGAAAACAGCCTGCACCAACAAGACAGTAGCAACCCTAGTGACAACGACTCGTTAAAAGCTTTCCTCCGTTGCTTATGAGCTGTTATACAGGGTCTTCAAACAGTCCGGCTTCCTCTGCAGTCTGCTACCCTTTGAACGGTGGGACCTAGAAACGCCTTATGGTCCTCGGGGATCTTTTGCACGTGGGTCATTTTTTAAAAATCTCAATGTGGATATGATTGATTAGCTTACCATTCTGCTATGCCGAAAGAGGGAGATGCGGCAGAATTTTTTTTAAGCTCTCCTTCAATTCAGTGATCATGCAATTTGAGTTACCTCACAGTGGATCTTGCGTCGCAAATTTTTGTTAGAGCAAAAATAAGAGTTGGTTCTATCAGTAAATGTCTCAAAAATCACGCTGAGCGCATTGGCAAAGTTTGAAATGCACTCCTAACTTGGCAATCTACGTTTTTTGGAGCTACCCGCTTCAAAAACGATACTACGGCACAGGTGAACATTTTTCTAGAGGAGTCGTCCCTTTCAACCCTTTCGCAATAGTTAAAGGTACCCGACGCTCGACGCTTCCGCACGCAAATCGCAATCGGGGGTACAAGGTCAACCAGAGCGGATCATTGCGAAGAAATCGTGAATGTAAATACGCTGGGTTGTTCACAAATGGTTATAATCTCGTCCAGGCACATGTGATTGGTGTCGGCTATGTTGAATATTGTGTAGTATCCTGGTGCACAGGGTTTTGATAGAGCGACACCTCTAACGAAATGCTCATCTGTGCCGTAGTATCGTTTTTGATGCGAGAAGCTCAAAAAAACGCAAAATTCTTACACAGATTGTAGATTGGGAGTGAATTTCAAACTTTGCCAATGCGCTCATCGAGATTTTTGAGACATTTACTGATAGAAACAACTCTTAATTTTGCTGTAGCAAAAGTTTGCAACAGGCCCAATTCCATTCAACATCATACACATCAAAAGCTTGTGCTCAAAATTTCAGTGTATCAAAGCACAATCCAAAATGTTCAGTAAAAAAATTGTAGGTGCCTAAGTCATGGAAGTACACATTAATACCTCTACAGCCCAAACCAGCGGGCCGATTATTGAAATTGATAGACAAAGCTATAGACAAAGAAGACATAGAGGGTATAAAGCAATCTTATTGGTTGAAATGGGTGGTTCTCATAGACTAAGGTGGAAAATGATAGACTAACTGTCGGGTCTCTCTTGGGTTGCCGTTAGTTAGTCTATTACCCACCTCCTTTGTCCATCGCAACCACCCGTTTCTACCAACAGGATCCCTCCAAATCCTTTTTGTCTTCTTTGTCTATTGCTTTGTCTATCAATTTCAATAATCAGCCCGCAGGTGGTGAAACTTGATTGCAGTTCGTCAAAGTGCCCTCTTTCATCAAACTAGTTTTAGTTGAGTTAAAACTGGTTTATTGAACTAGTTTAGCAAGAACGTTCGTTGTCCAATACAGGGTTTTATAATTGCAGTGGTTTCTTTTGCCCCACGACACTGAAGAATAAAATCGATTTCTTTTGTGAACGTTTATTTATACTTCACGGATTATTGAAAAATTGTTTTAGATTCCTAACGTCTTAACCATCTTGCGTCTTTAAGTTTCAAAGAAATCGTCCCCTCAAATTCTGAAACACCGTATTGGACATCAGACGTTTTCGCAATTGTCGATTCAATTCTACCCCCCACTTTGAGCTGCTCCTAGGGGTAGAATATACCTAATTCCAATCTAATATGTTTTCATACGAAAGTTTCATGTATCAGAGCTTGTACTCCATGCCTACTTCAAGAATGACATTTTTGGGATTACAAAACTTTTCTTGGTTACAAAAATCAAACTGCTTATTTTATTCACTCAGAGTTTCAGATATGATATCACACACAATTACTGGAAGGATCATTAATATTGGATAAGAAAACTCAGCAGAAAACTTTTGAAGAACATGATAAATATATTTATTAAATATATTTAAAATATGAACAAAAAAGAAAAATAAAACAACATAATCTTAATACATCAGACTTTCGCCACTCTATGATAGTCAAGTCACAAAATAAGACCTAAAATAAATCAGCTAAAAAAATAAATAGAGACATTGGAGGACTCATGATCTTTTTTCTTGTCCGAGAAATTCTATTTTATAAAAATAAATTTCAATCTGGGACGTGGACCATTATAGAGGATTCAACATCCGTTGAGTTTGTTAATACGTTTTCCTTTATACTTGATAAACCTCCCTAAATTGGACTGGACTGTTGAAACAAGTGGCAGGTGATCTCCCAGCTTTCCTTTCTGCGATCGAATCTAGATTTGGAGCAATACAAAGATCTTAGATGAGATGAAAACAGACAATTTGAGAAAAGTCTATGCCAAATAAGTTTACGCATTTTTAGACTGTGACACAGAAGATCCATCATCTTCATTCTTGCATTTACTTTCAAAGCTATATTGACATCACATGATCATCTAGCGCAGTCTAAGAGTTCGAAAACTTATTTAACAAGGACTTTAAGAGGAGAGTATCATGGTGGAAGGAGTGACATTTTCAAACAAAAATAGGAAAATCGGTAATTTTCAGTAAAACTTTTCTCAGAGTATACTAAATGAAAAAGGATTATACAAAATACCAAGAGATTCTACACTGGCTAAGTCTCAATCTTATTTTTTTGTGAAAAGTACCGAAGTTCCACACTGCTCTGTAGTTTTAAAGTGTGGCCTTTTACAAAGAAAACGCAAATTATGCTAGGGAAACTGATAATACAATGGACTTTTGGCAGCGGTTTGCCGGCATCTCTAGAAGAGAACAGGTCCATAATCAAACAATTCACCAGGTGATGAAGGGTAAAAGTATCACCGAGCACCATGTCATGCCTAGGTAATTAGCAAGGTACGGGCATGTGCCAAGAGTGGCAGAGGAGAGGTTGCCCAAACGAGTTTTGGATTAGATGGATAAGACCACACAAGTTCATAAAAAATAATCAGGTAGACTGGCCTTATTCCACCCAAAAAAAAAGGGGAAAGCAAGGCTAAAATACATATTAGAGGGCTTGGGAAGTTTCCCATTGTGACCACTCTAAAACTAGTTTTGGTCGGAACTCTGGCTACTTTCATGTATTGTTCTTATTTAACATGCAAATCAACCTAAAAGGCTCTCTTTCAAAAATGTCACTGAAATTCGATATTGGAATACCCGGACTTTTCAGAGTTTTCCTGATCAATTTTATAAGATTTCTTTGACTCTTAAGAAAATAAAAAATGGAAATTAATAGCTTTTAGATCTTCCAATCCAGCTAGAATAAAAACCGAGGCTATGAGGTGCAGCACATAAAAATTTACAAAAAAAAAAAAAAAAGGAAAACAAGTTCTTTTCGGAAAAGGCAATTTCCCCCAATGTGGGTGTTATTTTCTTCTACTTCTTTGAGTTCCCTCCGTTTCCTCTGACTATAGCCACCCTGCCTTTTTCACGAACTTATTTTCATTCCTTAGTTTTGAATTTAGGTTTGAAAATGAGATTCTTCAGGAATTGATTCACAACTGCAGTGAGTCTCCAGATGTGCTGGATTAAAATCAGGTGATAAAAATTGGCAGCAAAACCATTATTTCAGCTAATTATGATACCTCGGTCTACCAGATTTACCCAAATCTTTGGAGAAAAATAGTCAGGTTCCCACAGTCAAACAGCCAAATTGTTTAGTTTATACTGAGCATATTAACAGCAGTTTTCAATGGCGTAAGAATAATAAAAATTTACCATAGTTTTCAGGACTGGCGCTCCTATTTGCAATCGTTGTACTAGATTTATTCTTGCAGCAGACGCGTCTGTCTCGTCCTCGGCATAAAGATCCATTAGAGCATCTACAGCTTCAGCAATGATCCACACTTCCTTACTACTGTTGCACATTTCTAGCAAGAATGTACCAACAGCATCCTGTTGAAAAAATACTATCATAAATCACCAAGATCACTATTTGAACAGAGCAAAACTAGTCTGTTTCAAAAATAACTTGTCTCCCATAAGGTGCTTGCATTTTTTGCTGATATGCAATGGAATAAAGAGAAAATACAGGTAAAATTACTTTGGTTTCTTCTATTGATTTTCATAATCGTTGCAAACTATATAAATTCCTATTGTTTTCACTCTTCCCAAAATAGGTTTTAGGCCTTTATTGCGATGTACAAAACTTGTGAATAATTTGTGCAAGAGTTCTCAAACAGACTGCCTAAATAGCCAACAATCTAGTCAGTAGAAGTCTAATAATACTCGTGGACAATATTTGTTTCTTTTCTAGTGAATATCTTGCAAGCGGGGTATTATTTGTTAGAGAATTTTGAATTAGTGAGGAGGTTCAGTGGGTAAATTAATCTAGAATCCCTAAAATTCAAACACCCGCTGCATGATTTGTTGCGAACAATGTTTAGATGCGAAAGAAAATTAAGAGACGAAGCTACGAAAAGTTAATCATGGTGTCTCAGAGACTCAGCAGGAAAAAAATTCCTAGATTTTTCAAGTTTTTTCTGCACCAAAATAATCGATCACATCCACAATTTGTAAACATAGAACTGAAAATTAAATGTTTTTGGCATTGATTTCACGGCAAAAGGCAGAAACATACGAATATCTTTTCTTCAGATATGAATCATTCAATTAAATAATGTTCCTGACTTACTAGACCTGTAGACATCATTTTATCAATAGATAGCTATTTTTGCTTTTATGAGCATTTCGTATTAGCCCTCGTGTTTAATATAAACCAGGTATGGTATCCTTTACATTATCACAACAGGATAATTAATGAAAGAGGGCGATTCTTTAATGTAGCAAACTAATTAAAAGAAAAGAAAGGAGGTCAGTAGCTGCTGCAAGGATACCTAAAGAGGGAGAGGGAGGTTAAGTCTTATAGGATCTGATAGTCTTAATTGGTAGCCAATTTATAGTTATTTCATCAAGTGAAATTGAAACCAAGTGCAATCCAAGCAACACCCAATGTGAGATGGAGGAGTATTTTTTATGTGACATCTTTAACTAAGAATAAAACTGAATTATTAACAGAATTCAACTCACCAGGACACTTTCTTGTTCTGAATTGATAAAGAAAGTTCCGAACGTCCCAATATTTCTGATAAGAATGGCACGAATAGAATCATAAGGACATTTTTTCGTTGCGCTAAATAAAATTTCTAGGTCACTCTGGTCAAGTTTGATACTGCTTGAGTATTTTTCTGCCGCTAACTTGAGGATGATTGCTCGCATTGCAGAGGAGGCCGCTTCTAGAAATTCTTCTCCTTGAACTTCGAAAGACTTGAGGACCTCTTGGCTGATTGACGTCCACAATTCAAATAGTTTGTCTGCACCTCCGAGACACTGCACATCCAGCCCACTGACTAAGTTATGGAAACAGAAGAGAGAACGTGTCTGGAGCAGTTTGAATTTCACCAATAATCGTTGAGAATCTTTGTTGGATGATAAAATGCCACAAACATTTTCTGCAGGTGGTTCGAGTTTACTGAGCAATCTTGGCACAAGTTCAACACTGGACACAGCTTCTTGAACGATTGTTGGAAAACTGACACATGGCATAAAAATTTCACCCGCTTCTGAAACGTCGCTATCTGAAAATGAATCTTCACCGTCTTCTTCCATGGATTCTTCATCTGAAATGAAAAGAAAAAACGAAGAGAAAATGAGGCAGATGACGTGACATTGAGGAAAGGGGTTACTCAATACGTAAACTTGGATAATATGTTGACGATAGAGGCCACTTTTGGCAAAAAATAACCATGGGACAGGTCGTGGGGCCATGGAAATAGGTAATCAGTAGTTAAGGCATCCCTGGATAAAGTTTCGGTTGATTTTTTGTCTGGAGTAAAGAACCTTGTGATTGCTTCAAATAAAATTGACTGACTTGTTTTTGAGACATTTTGCACAATCATGAGGCAAGATTTTATTTTAGATTTCTTTTAGTTATCTAGTTCCTTGACTTTTATTGTGCTTTTCTGACTCCAAAATTTCCCATTTCCCTTCCATTCCCTGGCCATCGATCAAAACTTCCATCTATATTTTCCTTTTCTTAATTACGTGGAATTTTGCTCAACTATGGATGTGATCTCCACTTCTATATATCCCAAGTAAAGAGAGATAAACGATAGTTGTACACACTTTCTTGAATGGTACTAGTTGGAGTTACTAATGGTCCAGTTACACGATCAAATTGAGCCATCAAATTGAAGCTCTGATTGGTGGAAAAAGACCTGACCTGAGGTGAGGATGCGACAAATGAGAGGCCCAATTTGATGGCTCAATTTGATCGTGTAACTGGACCTTAAGACAACTCACTACTCCCAAACTTCCCTGACTGTGCTTAAAAATTGTCTGACTTCCCAGGACAGATGACTGGGTAACTCACATACCATGTGACAATTTTATCTTTTTCAAACTTTCAAACCCCATCTCCTATGGGGAAAACTCAAATAAAATATCTGTAGTCAAATTAGCGAAGAAAATTTCGAGAAGAGGTCTGGGAGTATAACTTAAATTCTAAAAACCAAAGAATCCAATATGCTTAAATCAAATACAAATTTTATCTGATGTCTTACCTTCACAAGTGAAAATGTTAGTGAGTACTTCAATAGCGACTAACTGTGCGTCTAAAATGTTTTCAACTGAGTTGATTTTGGTACATTCTTCAGAGGATGAATTTCCCTCCACAGGAATTTGACTGGTCAACTCATGGACAAGGGATCGTACATCAGTCACCAATGTTGTTGAAAGTAGAGAAAGAATATGCACAACTGATTCTGTTTGACTGCCTGATTTTTCTTTCAGAACAATATTGTACATCAGACCTAAAATAGGAAATTAAAAAATTAAATAGGGTCAATTTTAGGTCAAAGAAGAATTCCATGAGTAGACATTAAAATTGTCAGATCATTTTGTCGCTTCGCTGATATAAGGGCATAACCAGTGTTCTAAACTCACAGGCGCCAACGCGCCTTAAACATCGGCCATGGCTCCTAAAAAATGATGGCTCTGCGCCAACGTGGCCCCTAAAAATTGCTCCCTAAAATCTGAATTTTCATGTTAGGTAATTATTCGAAATTTTCAGCACTAAAAGTGAAGGCTTTTTCTATTCTTCACGATTTCATCCTTGGTGCTTTTGTCTTCCCCAAGTTACAGGTACTTACTAGTTCTGTTACGAAAACATCTTGCATCTAACTTTTCACAAAATGAGCCGGAATATATAGGCAAAAAGTCAATTTGGATCCTAAAAAATCTTCAATGGCGCCTAAAAATCAGGCTTGATGCGCCAAATGGCTCCTAAAACTCAGAGGTGAGTTTCGAACACTGGGCGTGACTGCAAATTAAGATGAGCTCGGAGAAGCATTGAATTATATGAACTATACAGGGTTCATTGCAGATTGTAGTTCCGTCCTTTTGCAAGGAAGTCAACGATTTCAATGCTGAGTCAAAAAGTCTGTGGAAAAGTCTCAAAGGCTGAACTTAGATTTAAAAAGATGAAGATGAAAGAATCTACATAGATTGAAAAACGAAAAATGAAGTGCTTTTCGAACATCATTTCAGCATTTAACTGGAATAAATGACAAGACAACATGGTATCAAGACTGATCCGATATCTATTTTGTAAAAACAGTGATCCGCATTTCATTTTTTCCTGTAATTTTTTATTTATTATATTTTTACTTTCCAGTTAAAAATGTGGTTGTGATGCATTACAAGATCCTGGTTTTCTACATTTTTCATTTTCTACAGCTTCTTCTCAAATTAATTTGCCATTGAATGACCCAATATACTTACAACCTCCTCATTTAGTACCTAAAAATCCAATTTTAAGAAAAATAGGGCACACTTTTCAGTCCGCAGCACATTGTCAAAATTTTATGTTCGTCTCTTGGACGAGACAAGGCAGAGGAAAAATGGTTTTACACATAAGACTGGTCTTTGACGTCGTTTAGGTAACTGAGAAAGTCACTTATTGGGTCAAATAATCGCTATTCATCTGCCAGCATAAAGGTACACTTAGCTAGTCCATTATTCAGGTTAATAAGGAGCTTCCTCTGCCCCGTCAACCGAACAACATAGTCAACCAATCATATAGCTTCATTTTACCTTAGTCATATCTTGTCTACCAGACAAACACAAATTTCAACTATTGGCCTGAAGGAGTGAATTTGAAATGGTGCAAAGATAAGATAAAACCCTGTGATAAAGGCAAAATTTATGATGGTAAAGAAATGGAAATTACTTGCCTGCAGCAAGAGTTCGTAAGAGAATTGATGCCGGCTCTTCACTTTTGATGTTGATCAAGCCTTTAATGACACCAACTTCATTCTCCAAAATATTGAGGGCATTTTGATTTTCTTCTGAAGCAGTGAGAAGGCACTGAGCTGCAATTTAATGAATTCAATTAGATTGAGATAACTAACATGTGTTCAAAAGGACAATTGCATTACAAATTTTCTTCATAAAAATTCTAAGAATATATGTAGATTTGACTGAGTATTCAAAAAGCTGAGCAAATCCTTTATAAGAGAGGATCGACTTATGTGTGCGACCAAATATCATATACCGGTATCAAGGTTGCTAAGATTATGAAATTTGTTGGCAATTTAATTTGGGGCAAAATATGTCTTCTTTCATGCAGTTTCTAGTGGAGGGATGAAATCAGAATTTGGCAATGAAGATATTTTTCATTCAATACAGAAGTAGATCACTGTATCGAATACAACATTTTCTTAGTAGCCGATCCTCTTTCTACTCCTCCAAATTATGTAGGTTTTTCTGTCAAAATTGATTCTCCAGACTCACGTGCAGAGGTTGCCCTTCTCTTGACTAAAAAGTCAAATTCTGCCGAGATTTTTCACTTTATCGATGCGATACATTACAAGCCATTTTAACTACACCAAGAATCCAGGATGAATCACTTCAACTAGGATAGCTTTAGCATTAATAACTTTGACTTTAAAATCTTTAACTTAGCATTAAATTATACTGAAATTTGGTTAAATCATATTGAAATTTGGTTAAATTATACTGAAATTTGGTTAAAGAAAAAAGAAACAGAAAGGTACTAACACTAGGTTTCGTGTGGAGGCAAGAAAAAGGGCAGGGACAAGATTGGCTCGAGGGCATGCGAGTAGATCTAGAAGGATGGGAACACAACAAGAGAAATGCTCCAAAGTTAAAAGCAACACTTTCTTGACACAACTTCTTCTGGATCTCAGCTCTTTACGACTTCTTAAACTTCTGCTTGACTCCTTCAATTTGGCAATTTTCTTTGACTTCTACTTCTTGCGACACATATTCAATTACACAGCACTTGACTTCTTTTTCTCGTTTTTACCAAAGCAAATTTCACTAATAAAAGTAGTTGAGCTTAACGTAACTCTTTCTGCAGTTAAAACTACAAGCCGCTTACTCTCCGCACCACTTAGCTGAAGGACTTCATGCAAATTTCATTAAAGCCATTGAAAGGTAAAGTGATGGCATCAAACTGCGGGCTCAAAAAAATTGGGAAAAAGCATAGAAGGCTAAAAAGGGCCAGAGCCAAAAAAAAAAAGCAGCAAACCGGTCTCAAACAGAGCACACATAAGAAATTCAACTCCCAGGGTTCCAAATTAGGGGTATTCAAACGAATTCTTGCCGGAACACTATCGATATCGTCTCTTATTGAAACTGGCGGCAGTACCAACAGTGGCGTTGATATCGTTAACAGCCGGCCTTGTCGGATTTTTGAGAGCTCGCACTCAATGCATTGTTGCCCTGTGCGTCGGTTCATCAGATTGCCTGGCGCGGTGGCACATGAAATACATGTAAAAATGGCAACAGCTTATTTTCGTCAGCTCCGAAAACTCTGATCGCTATCGGCAAGAGCGCTCTTATCGTAACTTTTTTTTAATGGAACTGTTTCGGTAGCTTACCGACAACTGATAGAACAGCTCTATTCCAACTTCTAGGTAAAATTTTAGGAGCCATCTTGGCTAGATGGCCAATTTATAGGAGCCATTTTAAATGTTTAAAAACAACTTTTTGCATACGGATTAATACCATCATGGAACAAAGCAGTGAAATTGGTCACCCAACTGACTTTCGACTGATTTTTGTTCCTGTCTCTAGCTCTGCCAGAGTTTAGAGTAGTGCACTTTTGCTGCTTTGAGGATTAACAATAGAAAGCATCTTATTTTTAGGCACCATGGCTATCTAGTACTTCCGCGTTCTCAGATGTATTTTTCACAAGGCAGCCAATGAGTTGAAGGCTGCCAACTCTCTTTGATGATATTGTGCACCCCATTCCATATTTCGGTAAGAGAAATGAAGCAATTTTCAGTTAAAATTCCTCATTTACCCCATCCAACAAGTGCAACTCTCACATATTTGACATCAAATTTCAAAGTTCAGGGATTTTTAAAATGCATCTAAAGCTTTCCTAACAAATTGAGTGGTCTCAAAGACTGAAAAATCAGAGGAAGAAATAAGAGATATTCAAAGACTTTTCAGGGCAACATAAACTATACCCTGTGCATCTTAGGCAGCTGATATATTAGACCATGGATGTTGTTATACTGCCTTGCCAGGACGTTTGCAGCGCTATTACGATGATTTGCTAACTAGACGGCATGAAAGTTGCTTGCGTCTTGGTTGCTAGTCAAATTTTGGTGCAGTTTTCATACAAGCTCAACAGTTTGAGGCAGAAAATTTGAAGGCTGCACTGCTAAGTTGATGAGTTCAACTAGACTGGAAATTTGTTTGCAGTTGCCTCCTTAATTGTTGGCATCAATTGACATGTCTCTCTTAAAAAAATGGTGCTTAAATGTAATGTTTTCCTTTTATCATGGGAAATTAGTTTTAATTGAATTTCTACAATAGCTAGAATAACATTACCAATATGGGGTACTTTGCATTGATCAGCAGTTTAAACCAATAGAAAGTATCGTTTATTGAGGTGTTCACAATAAATGCCTTACTATCTAATTCTTTACCATAGCTTCAAAGGAGAAAATATCAATTATCGACTATACAAGTTTCGCTGCTGAGTGTAATATTTAGTAGATGTTACAGGGGCCACCCTCATGCTTAGTTTTGCATCAAAATAAAACTGTTTCAGGAATAAAATTGAAAAGTCAAGTAAATGATATTACTTCCTGGTTTGAACTCTCTCTAGACCCACTAATTTGACTTTTCACTGTTGGGAGCGGTCGGTGGTCACTCAGTAAGGAGGTAGAAAACCTCACCTGGGAACTGAAGACATGCTGGAATTGTATCGAATAAAACTCAGCAAAGCAAAAGATTAGTGAATCAGGCATGCACAGCAAGATCATTTCCGCTTATTTTTCTAAAAAAAATTCAAAGCTCCTGAAGTACCTAGTTGTCAATGCTATGATGAAAAAACGAACAAATAAAAATGAGGTACTCACCAACAGAGATAACTAGTTCTGGTCGATAATCGTTGGGATTTAAAAACCGTGTTAGAATAGCTAGCAACTTTTCTGAATTGAAATATTTAACTGCTACACTGCTACTTTCACTGCAAAAAAAGAGGGATTAAGGGAGAATTAAAAAAATGAATTATTCCTGTTATGGATAGAGCATAGAATTCTTCTTTTATGACTTTTGGTGAGTACATATACACATAGCAATGCTGTTTTTTTTTGGACCTACCACAAAACAACCACTACTCTAAAAATGTCAGTAAGTACATAAAAGGAATAAATACATTCCAAACGACTGCATGCATCTCTTTAAAGTACAGTGAAGTTGGCTTGCAATGAACTTGATGGATAGTGAGATATACTCTGGTTTGTCTGCAATTTCATTAGATGTGATCTCGGCAATCAAAACACGATAAAAACCTTATTTTTGCCTTTCTCTTCCCATTGAGACAACTCAAAATCACTGAGCACCTCTCGTATCTTGTATGTCTGTATTTAAGGAACTTTCAGTTCATATTTCATATGAATGAGTTTGTGCTTTGATCAACAGGTACTTTCTTATTACCTGATAAAATAGATTTTTTCAAAAAATCGAAAATAATTTGTCCTAGTTTCCTCAAAATTATTTGATGTTGTTACACATACACATTTTCTGTTTTCTTGCAGTAGTTTTACTTAAAAAAAAAAAAAAAAAAAACCACTTAACAAATGAGTCAAGGCGCAGACTAGCAGTCAGTTCAGCAGTTTCAAAATCAAGATTAAGGCCTGTAATAGAGGCACTGAATTTGCTTACAAAATAGTGCCCTCCAATTAAATCTAGCTTCAATTTATACAGATTTTTAGGCTAAATCAAATTATAAGGGGCATAATCTCACCACAAATTCCATAGCAGATTTATGACATGGTTGAAAGTATCAGAATTTTCGGAAACTTTTTGGTCTTTTTTCTCAGGCTTCACATCTTCTGCAAACTATTATAGAAAAAAATTAAAATTTAACAAAATACTGCCTAGGAGACCAGGAAAATGAAATGAAAATGAGAAAAAATTCCTGCATTAATGCTGACAAAGATCAAATTTGGCCAAAACAAGGAAGAGAAGGTGCTTTTCTGACCTATAAGGCATGGTTCCCTTTAAACAATAATCCTACTGCCAAAAATAATGATGCTAATGCCAAAAAATAATCATGGAGTGAGGTTGACAATAATAGGCATGAAAACACTGTGTGTTACTTTGAATAGAGTACAGTCTCAACAGCAGGGAGAAGGCTGAAATTCGAGAAAAATATATGTCCCATTAAACCGGGATTTTAGGCCCTAAGATTTGAGAGTCGTAGCTGGTAGCATTTTAATTAAGACCCTAGAACATGAAGAAACACCCATTTTAGTTGAACTGGTTGTGCATTAAAAGGATTGCAGGCACTCAAAGTTTTCTCAGTTATTACAGAAATAAGACGAGTCTGCAAAGAAACCAATTTTACAAATGCAGGGGATTTTTTGAGTAATCTCAATTCAATTTTTAGGGCTGAGTTTAAAAATGACATTAGTTTAAGCCCTTTGCCCATCAATTTTTTGCAAAATTGAGAGCTTTTTAAAAACAGGTACTTTTCAGAAAATTCAAAAGTTCACGTTGTGTGCTATATGGAAAACTCAACTGATCCAGGGCTATGTATGAAGAGAAGAAATGACATGTGTTGAGCAATTACAATGGTCACCTGGATGAGAATTTTTTAGATCATATGCTACTAATTGATACAGTTATTTATAGAAATTCAAGGAGGAAAAATCCCTTGGTCAATGAATGAATAAATGGCACATACCTTGTGAATGAAAGCCACAAGAGGGGTCATTATGTCCTGTTCAATGAGAGCATCACATATGTCACCATGATCACTTAGAATTCTGAAAGAGAGAAAACAAAATATGTTTGAGGCATACAGACTCTATTACTTGACAACCTGTAAATGCTTAGTGAAAATATTTGACTTTTACCAAACGTCAAAGAGCCTTTTACAGTGAAATCTGGTTAAGTCGAATTGTCGAGGGATAGAGGGAAATTATCATCTAGGCGACTTTCCATCTCATCTAGTTTACCACTAAGGACAAGATAAGCTTGAAAATTTGAGGTAAGCGATTTTAAGTGACTTAATAGGTATTTCTTTAAGTAACTTTTAAACAAATTTCAATTATCGATTGAATTTTTGAAGTGAATTTTCAAATTCTGCTTCTATCTTTTCAACAAATCGAGGAAGGACATCCAAAATCACAGATTTGGAAACTCTTACTTCTTTGAAAATGGAGATATCGACGGTGTAAGTCGGCAATCACATAACTCGTTTGCGGTGTCTGAAAATCTCTGCTTCTATGTTTTTTCTTTAAAGGAGAACACATTGACATCATTCCTTGGAGTTTTTGTAGAGTTTTCTTCGCACAGAGAAGAAAAATCACGGTAGTTTTAAAGAATTACCGTTGAGTAGTTTTCCGTTTAAGAAATAAAGTATGATAGGAAATTTGCGACGTCGCAAACCGAGTTATGTGATTGCCGACTTACACCGTCGATATGTCATCAAAAACCCTTTTTTTGGGAAGTTTTTTCTCTTACCTAATACGATGATAGGTTTCATCTATTCTTGCCAAGAATAATTGAAGTGATGCAGGACCTATAAAGATACGTACCTCAAGGTTGCAGCTGCAACATTCCTTAGAGAAGGATGAGAGTCCACAAGACATGGAGCTATCAACTTAGTGATTTTGGTTTCAATAATTTCTTTCAATATTCCCGGCTCATCTAAAACATTTGATAATATCTGAAGTCCACAAATTTTATCAGAGGAGCTCGGCAGCTGCAACTAAAACCAAGAAAAGATTAGCATTCAGAGGTTCATACTTGATGAAAATTTTGGGGGCAGCGTCAGCTTGGAAATCGAATACTGTCCAAATACCTAAGTACTATGGAGTCAGGCAAAGGAACCAACTTAATTAAGATAGAAACTGAAACTATTCGATACAAATACGTTTACGCACTTTCAAAGCGCAACAGAAGAATAGCTGTCTCCAGTTGAGCATTAAAAGTAAGTTCAAGAATCAAGGCAGAGGATCTTCTGTCACACACTCCAAGAGCATGAACTGAATTCATGTAGGCTTTGGTGATTCTTCTAGAATCAAGACCAATCCACACAGGTCAGTCATTGCGCAGATTTTTTGAAATCCACTCCCCTGCCCGGCCCTTACTCGCAGCACTCAATGCTACGTCACAATGGGTGCTCCCATAAGAAATACATTGCAGGCACTCAATACTACGTCACTGCGCAGTAGAGTACCAAAACTCGTCCTCAGGAATGACTGACCTGTGTGGATTGGTCTTGTCTAGAATGAATCCATTACAATAGACTAATTTAGTGGCTTTGTCATGGTTCAATTGTAAACAAACACAAAACCTTATTTCTTATTTGCGCCTTTCGCACCATGATGGTAAAATGGATCCAGGTGTTTCTTCCATAAAAATTGTCTAATGTTTAATGAGTCCTCAATTTATTTATGACCTGTGAATGACATAATTGTGAAAATTTAACACAATTAACTTACACAGAATTAATTGTAAGTAGGATTAAGTATGTTTTTTGGTTTAAACCACTGAGTTTGATATTATACTGAATGACTTAGTCACTGAGTCCGTCTACTCTGCCTACAGCGTCAATGAACTGTTGACAGGGTAAGCCTGAATGTCTCTTGTTTTCAACCTGCAAGTTTTGGATAGCCTTCATGCAGTTGATACTAAACATTTTTTGTGCTAGTCAAATGAAGCGGAATTCACTCCTCTAACTTGTGGTAAATTAGTAGATTTTTCTTTTTCTCACCTCAGAGACCGTTTTTCACAACTCCATCATGAATACTTCCTCCATGAAGTATAAGAGTAAGATTGCAAACTTATGTAATAGAAAATTGAAGGACTCTGTTACAAATTTCTTCAGCAGTTCAATGATTGGGACGGTGAAGAGCTATGCAAGCTCCGCCCCTCTTTCAAAATTGAAATTCTTCAACATTTGATGTAGGAATAGAACAACTAATTAAAACAAAGTATCTGGCTAATCGACAGTGGCTAGTTGAAAAAGATACTCTTGCTGAGAGGTAGATGCCAATCTGTTGAACTGAAGATGCTGACGGAAAATATGTCAATAAGAGCTGCTTTAGAAGTTATTGTACAACTGATGGCAATAACTTCTCAGCTTAAAATCCACACTAAAAAAGTGTACACACACTTTGAGAGTACAACAAGGACAATCCATCATCTTGATTCTAGTGATCACTTACAGTGGTGAACTGAAGACAGCTGATCTTCTGTAGCACTCTAGAAGTGCGTTTAAACATATTTGGCGTGAACCCTAGAGAAATGAATTGAGGCACTCGAGAACCTATCGGCAAAAGATTCAAGCTGGGCTTTAACAAATAAAATAGCTAAATACTTGAACAGAGAAGAAGTAAAGAAGCGGGAACATGTGGAATGATTGTTAATTCTGGTTACTCGGCTGACTCCGAGCAAACTTCGATGAAAACTACCAAAAAGACTTACTTTAGATTCGACATTTTCAATGACAGTCTTAAAGTTCGTTGGAGTAGTTTCGGTGCTTTCATATCCCAATTCAGCTACACGCCTTGAAATTGCAGCATGCCTCGGTGCTTTGAAACGATTTCTATTCTTGTGCTTCCCCATCACTCGACTACTTATCGAAAGTCCCTGCGAAGTTATACGAACACAGTGCTTGATATCAATGCAAACGGAGTGGTACAGCGAAACTTCTGACAAAGTTTACGACCCACGAGGGATTCACGATTCAATATAATTAAACTAAATAAAACTAGTGCGACGATTATCAGAATGGACCACGTGAATCACTGACAAGATATCATGCTCATGTTCTAACCTAACCTAACTTATTCAGACACATGACTCATCGAAGGTCGGACAGCCGTCGCATTACCTCTGATTGGTTGGCGGTTCCGGCGAGTGTCTGCGATCCGCTTAGGTATGCTTTGCTGCATCGTAAAGAAATGAAGGCGTTCTCAATCGATGGCTTATTGTTTGAACCAATTTAACCAGGATTATCATAAATGAATTTTAATGTAGGCAAACGCCTTTGGTAAAAAATTATCTTAGTCCAAACGCTGTTTTGTCGTCCCTCTCTCTCGCACTCATTGATCAAATGCGGCATTATTCGGCCCTTTAAAAGAACACATAGCGCACACACACTCTCGCAAAAAGTACAGCCTCGGTCTCGTATTTCGGTACGCGGTGGTGGAGTGGCTTCATGGCGGCAAGACCACTTGGGTTCTTTTTTATGAGAGCCCCCGAAAGCACGGCCGTAAATGGAGAGAAAGGCCTAAGTTATCTTGGTCCATCCATCCATACGCTGTTTTACCGCCAGGCCAGGGGCACTAGGATGCTTCGGCACCCCCGAAATTCTGATCAGTGACCGAGGGGGCGCCGCAAGGATTCCTCTAGGGGCCTCCAAAACTTGAAACACCCACATATAAGAGGACTTTAGGTAGGTTGGGGGGTCCTCGCAGGAGAGGGGCCCCTGAAGACATATCCGCACCCCTAAAAGTAGTTTCGGGCCACACTGACACTGGCTCTGGCTGAAGTTTGCAACAGGCCCATTGTGAGTCTGTTAAACTACGATATTTTGAGACCTATGGAAAATGTATGAATTTCAATCCGAAAAAGTTAACTCTCTATTGCATGAGTTAATTTTGGATCACGGATTTTGAAATAGAAATTTTTTTCTGAAAGATCTTGGAAAAAAAG